AACATATTTTTAGAAATATTTGAGTTTTACAATGTAACAAATTGCTTATATTTTGTCCATTTATTGTAGACAATAGTAGCATAAAACTTACCAGTTGATGAATAGAAAAATATTATTTGTTGACTTCACTTTGCCATTTTTTTACCTTTCAAATTTTTTTTTCTAAACTTAAGGTTATATCTAACTATTTAACTGAGACAATTGTTGAAAGTTACACAAAAGTTATAAGCTTCAAAGTTGTCTAGTTTACCATTTGAGAAACCAAATGGTAAAACTAGACAACTTTGGAGTGCCACCTAATGATCGATATGATGCTGCAACTTCTAAGCTATTGAACTTAATAATTAAGCTGATAATAATAAAGCCTGAAATTGCAAATAAAACCTTAAACATAATGCAAATAATAATAATATAAAAAAATCAGAAAAATCAGAGCTGATGTCCAAAAAGTTTACCTTAAATTGCTAAAAGCACAATGAACTTGTATTTTTAAATAAAAACTTGCTGTTTAAACATGTATAATATCTTATTAAACTCTTTTTGTTTACATTTTTATTCCGAAAGTACAACTTTTAAGTTGTATTAATTTATGTTGATTGAATTGTTTATACTGTCATGTATTTTTATGTATTGTTTATAATGACGTGTATTTTTGTATAATTTTTGTGTATTTTTTGTCATGTATTTCTATGTTTTGTTTAAATTGTTGTGTAATTTTGTGCATCGTTTAAATCTCAATATACATGCAAATGAACATTTTCTAATTGTTTATATTTTCATGTTGCTTTTTTGTGTGGTGTTGTTGCTTATTATATTTGTTGCAATTATTCAAGTAATTTTATACTTTTTGTGGTCACTATTTATATTATTAACTTTTGTTGTTTGTTTGCTTTTTGCTTTATGACTCCAATGACTAATCTTTAATTACACGAACAACGCTGAACCTAGTTTTGTAAAATTATAAATAAATTAGTAATTTTTTTAATTTTATGGTTAAATAAATGGATAAAAAAAAAATCAAAGTTTTATAGTCAACCATTACTAATTTTTTTTAAAGTTTGTTTAAATCTTTAAAAGTAATTTACAAAATATTTTTTACACGTGTTTAAAAGTTTGTTTAAATCTTTAATCCATGCATTTGTATACAAAGCTTATTTTTTAACAGCTTTCAGAAGCGTGTTAGTAATTTAGAGAGAATTGTTTTTTACTTCAATCATAGTTCATTTGTAGAATAAATTTACCACAATTAGGCATTTTTCATCTCAAACAAATTTCAGTCAAGTAATAAAAATTCATTGTATACCAGTACAACAGGTTTCGCAAAAGCTAATAACTTGCATCTGATTATAAGAATTAAACCAGAAATATTGCAATTGGAATTTAGACAATTTTTTGAAGTATTCTTATTGTTTATATTTATTTTTTTGTGAATAATTTGCTCTAAGATCATTGGGTTGTTGTTTATATGTTCCATTTATTTAACAGAATTATTAGAAAATTGTGTTGTATATGAACAACTTATAGTGTAAAAACATTCATAAAAACTAATTATAATAACAATAGTATTAATAACAACAAAAGTGTAACACCAAGATTTTAAAAATAATATTGGGTATCAGACATGTATAATAGTTAAATGATACTATATCATATAATGGTTTAGCTGATGATTTATTAAAAAAAAAAAAAAAACTCACCAAAAGATGTACTACTATAAAAAAAAAAACATTTTTATAGTAGTACATATGTTAATGATTAATAAGTTTGATTTTTGTTCATTAGAGATGTTTCTCAATAAAATATAGTATTAAATAAAATGAAAATGAAAAAATTACTAAAAAATATACTTTTTTTTGGAGAAAGTTTCTATAAAACCAGACTTCACTCCTGCACCATGCCATATACCTTCATTATTTTTGGGTGATATATAAGATTTTCTTGTTTCTAATCCAATAAGTTTTTTTCGTCTTGCAAGACTCAAAAAAAACACTCCAAGCTTAACCATTTCTTTAAAATAAAACACATTAATACATTATTAATAGTTATATTATTTTTATGCCTTTAGTTTTATGCTTCGATTCACAAATTAAGAAAAGAATCGTTATTATAATGATTCTTTTCCTAATCTGTGGGGGTAATAAGGGGGTAATAAGTATGCACTCCCCCCACCAGAATCTGAAAGTCCTGAAAATATCATAGTAATAGAGGACTTTTAGAAGACGCAAATAAAATACTAATAAATAAAAAATACTTCAACATTCTCCACCAAAAATTTCTGGGATCCGTAACTTTTGGGACTTTAAAAAGATGGGAAAAAAATCGTTATTATTAAAATAAATTGTAACACGCGATCATGGGTATTAGGCTTCAAATTCCAACTTTTCGTTATACACATCGAGTAACTAAGTTTTTAATTTACTAACTTGCATTTTAAGTATCCTAGAATTTAACATAAAAAGTTCCCATTCTAAAAGTGTCCCAAGCGGCCAGTATAGATCCCCAAAGTAACCCTTATCGTGTCTATCGTGAGATTTCGATTTCATTCGATTTCCAATAAAATATTTTGCAGAACCAGATTTTCCCGTCTAAAACCATTTTATATTATAATCTAATTATGACATGATCTATCCAAAATAACATTTAATTATAGAACAATCTACTTTATAATCGATCTTTATGAATTTTAATTGATCCAAAAACAGCTGCTGATGCCCGCAAAACCTAATAAAAATGAAGTCAATAATGGTATCACTGTGATAAACAATCGAATGAAATCTTCTGTCAAATTTATCAAAACTACAAACATAAAGTCTAAAATCTTTTTTTTTTTTTTTTTTTTTTTTGTTATTATTTTTAGGTGCTCCAAGAAGACTTAACGGTCTTGTCACAGAGCACTGCGGAAGTGCATTTAACCAGGAAGTTCACGCCTACTTCTTTACCGTGACGCGAAAATATGTCCAGAGCTCGTTTCGAACCTGGACCTCCTGCTTACAAAGCAGGCGCGTTAACCGATGCGCCACGGCTGCACTACTTTAAAAGAAATACAATCAACTTAGGTTTCCAAAATGTTCAACCTGCTATAAATAAATCTGCCATAATTTATGACACTATTAGTAATCAATCTTTAGATATTTTCATAGTCACTGAGACATGGATAAAATCAGACGACCCTCCTGCAATTCGAAATTGTATGGCGCCACCAGGATTCAAAATAATTCAATATTGTCGATGAAACCGTTGTGGAGGAGGTGTAGCTATTGTTTACCGAGACTACCTAAATATGAAACCCTTGTTACTGCCATCCACCTGCCATTTCTACGAACGCATAGCCATAAAAATAAATTTAGTTAATAGTGTTGATATCATCATCGCAATTTATAGATCATCGCAATTTATAGATCATATAAATATTATCATCGCAATTTATAGATCAAATCCTATTATTCCAACTGGAATTTTTTTTTCAGAATTGTACGAGCTCTTGGAAGAACTTCAAACTATTTCTGGTGAAGTTTTATTGTGTGGTGATTTTAACTGCCCAAGCAATAGTCCAACAACTAAAGACTCGCAACTTAATGATGTTTTTGAAACCTCTAATATGATACAACGGATTCATACACCAACTCGAATATCTTCAATTACCGGTATTGCTAATCTATTTGACCTTTTAATCAATCGCAGTGACGACAATTTGTTTTACAACCTACAAGGTCAAAGATCTGGGTATTTCAGACCACTACATGATTCAAGCAGGCCCGCCATGAGCCTTTGCGGCGCCCAGGGTCAAAATTTCCCAAGCGCCCTGCTGAAAGTGAAAGCTGATCTAATGATCCATAATTCAATACATATAATAAGCCATTTGATAACAAATCAAAGAGGATAAAAGAATATAGAATTTTTTAATTTTAATTAATGAACATTTGAACAGTTTATTTCTAGATAATTGCAATGGTCTTTTGACTTGGTTATACACTCATACATAAAATGATAAAGTCGACACTAGAACATGGTAGAAACAGACCAAAGACAATCATTAAACACTATTGGATGTTAAGAGCAAAAATTTGTCTAGAATACAACAGCTATTGTTGTTTCAACTTCAGAGGAAATTGATCTTTCGAGCTTTACTCATGGCGAATTTGGAAATTACTTCACCGTAGCACAACTTTTTGGCAAGATTATGCTCAATGGAAATAACCAGAAGATTCGTGAGTCGTTCTTGGCTCGTTGTAGACCTTAAAGCTGTCTTAACAAGAGCAAGCTTACTAAAAGATCTCTCGCCTTCCGCAACAGAAACAGGGATGGTGTTGAAGATGCGCAGAAAAATGCAGACTGATTCGAAGAGCGGCTGAAGACCTTTCTGGTATATTCCATTCAATAACGTCATGGAAGTGAGAGATTCTTTTGGACCAAAAAGATTGGATCGCTTCAGAGCACCGAGGTGGCGGACCTCTTCAATAAGAATAATTTATGATGCCAAAGTTATTCTAAATTCTCAAATTGTTTATACTTACATTAAGAAGTGATGATATACACGATAAATATGCAGTATCTGACTTTTTAAATGAGTTATTTATTGTAGAACACAGCACAAACGTGTATATTTTCACGTGTTTCAAAATTGTTTCAAATTTGAGAAATTTTACAAAATTAGAGAAATAAATTTAATAAAATTGTTTTAATATTTTATATCAATATCAAACTACTTGGATTTAATCTAATCTCTTTTTTTAATAAAGTAAAAAATCTCCGTTTTTAATTGAATGAAAATCTCCGTGCACTAAAGTTATTTTAAACATTTACTTCAGCGGGTTGTTAAATTAATCATTAGTATTCACTTTATTAGCGAGTTTCCGCTATATAAAAAGAATCGCTTTATTTAAAACTAATGTTTTGAAAGTAATGCTAATTTCTTAGTTTTAAAGCATTAATTTCTTTTTTTATTTAAAAAGTCCATTTATGAAGCACTTCATTACAAAGTTGAAAATTTAAACTAAAAAAAATTGATAGGCCAAAAAAAGCAATTGACCGTCTATTATATGTTTTAGCTGGTCAAATTGACCGGTTGCTTTTGATTTCTTATTTTCCACGCTGCTTCCCAGTACTTCATCTTTTTTTTAAATAAACATGAAAAAAAAAATTGCTTATATTCGGCTTCGTGCGCCCCTGTCGACCTGGTACCCGGAACAAAACAACCCAGTAGACCCCCCTCACGGCGGCCCTGGATTCAAGCTGCATTACAACACCAAACTTCAAAAAAAAAACCTGTTTGGTTCTCTAAACGAAATTTCTTAAAGTTAGATGTATCACGCTTTGATCCGATGGCGATCACAAATAATACCGAATATATATTATAACTTATATTTTTAAGATCTTAACCGTTTTTACATTAACTATATTACTTATATTCTTTTTATTTTTGTATCTAAACAACAACAACAACAAAACTCTATTTATACAAAAATTTCGTTCAATAACAAAAATACTATTGTTCAAATAGTCGGCACATAATTGTTATTTAGTTCGTTACAGCCATATTGGCGCTATTTACTAGTTATATCGATCGTGATATCGGAATGCTGTTTTTCTTTTAAGCTGATTCAATTTCCTTCCAATCATTCTCCCCCTCTTTGATAGACTCCAGTCTATCAAACATTTAATTATCAAACTCAAGAAGACACAATCTCGTAATTGGTCATATAAATTCTTTTTCGCCAATTTTGACTTTCACAACTCTTACACGTCCATCATTACCTTCAAAGACTCCCGTAATTCTACCAAGTGGCCAATGTCCTCTAGATGTTTCTGGAGAATTTACTAACACAATGTTATCCGTTTTTATTTCGCGTTTTTTCTGATTCCATTTATATCTTTTAGATAAAGATGGAAACCATTCCCGCATCCATCGTTTCCAAAAATGACTTAGTAGTTCTTGCACTCGACACCAGCGCTTTTTAGGATGATAGCCTTTAGATTGAACTGAGTCAGGTGCAAATTGTCCACCAACTTGCCCAATCAAAAAACGATTTGGAGTTAATAGAATATCATCTTTTATATTGGCACTCTGATATGTTAGTGGGCGAGAATTCAATAAACTCTCAGCACCTGTAAATGCCGTACAGAGTTCTTCATCTGTAATATCGGCTTTTTCGAGTATCCCAGTCATTGCACGTTTGACAGCTTTGACCATTATTTCAAATGCACCGCCTAGATGAGGTCCTAACGGAGCATTAAAGTGCCACTTGATTCCTTTATCAGCTGTAGAGTTAGTAATTTTATCCTTATCTAAGTCGTTGACAATTTCGTTTAGTTCTCGACATCCTCCAAAAAAATTTGTTCCATTGTCCGTTAAAACTTCTAATGGTAATCCTCTTCTATTGACCATTCGATAAAAGGCATTGAGGAATGAATTTGTATCTAGATTATAAGCCATCTCAAGATGTACTCCTCGTGATAGTAAACAGGTAAACAAGCACAAGTATCTCTTTTGTCGTATCTTTTCTCTACCTTGCATAGTAAGAAATAGACCAGCAAAATCGATACCAATTCTAGCAAACGCACGTAGTGGTTCTTTAAAGCGCATTGCTGGTAAAGGGGCCATCAGCTGTTGAGCAGGTTTACATCTTCTTAATTTACATTTGTTGCATTTTGTTTCTGCATCTCGGATTTCTTCTCGTCCTCGTATTACCCAATATCGTTCTGATAGTTTCGTTAATAATTGATTTGTTCCCATCACATGATTGGCTTCGTCATGGTAATGCTTAACAATCAATTTTGTTATTGTATGTCTTCTCGGCAAAATGATTGGATACTTGACATCGTAGGGTAAACAATGGGCATTTTGCAATCGACTGCAAGATCGCAATAATCCGTCTTCGTCAATTTGCGGATTTAAAGAAATAATTTTGCTTGATATCGATATCGGTTATCCTTTTTCAATGTTGCTATATTTTTTTTTAAAGCTTTCTTTTTGAGCTTTAGCTATGATTTCTTTTTCGCTTTCATAATATTTATCAGCTGCTATATCACCCTTTTTACGAAAGTCTGTTTCAAATCGACGATTTCCTATAAACCGATGGATCCAGCCGTTTATCCTGACAATTTTTTTCCAACATGAGAACTTGTTTATATCAAGCAATTGATTTGTTACTTCAGTGGATAATGCAAAATTCATTAATCCTGAATTTTTCTTTACTTCAATTGAAGCCTCTTGTGTAACTTCAATGTGATTCTGTGGCCATTTTTCTTCTAAAGAATTAAGGAAACTTGGTCCATGCCACCATACATAATTGCTTTCTAATTCTTTAACTGTTGTTCCCCTTGTTAGTAAATCAGCTACATTAGTTTTTGTTGGTATGTATCTCCATTGTTTTAGTTCAGTCTTTGATTGAATGAATCCAACACGGTTGGCAACAAATGGTTTCAACTTTCGACTTTGATTTTTTATCCACCATAAAACATTAAGACTATCACACCATATAGTTACGTCCTTAGTTTCCAGCTTCAATGTTTTGACAATCTTCTCTGCAAGTCGTAAACCGAGGACAGCTCCAAGTAACTCAAGTCTTGGTATACTAATAGATTGCAATGGACTTACTCGGGCTTTTGACATTATGATCACACAGGTCACTTCTCCTGTGTCATTTAAACATTGTTGGTAAGCAACAGCACCGTAAGCTTTACAAGACGCATCCGTAAAAATATGAATTGACCTATTTGTTACTGTTGAGGTTGTTTGTAAACATCTGGGAATGTTTATTTTTGGGAGATCGTTTAGTTCTTGAAACCATTGATCAACATTATTTGCAATCCTATCCGGAACTGCATCATCCCACTCAATTCCATTAGTCCACAGTTCCTGCATAATTATTTTGATTCGAATGATATATGGTGCCAAAAAACCCAATGGATCAAACAACGTTGTCATTTTTTTAAGCAAAATTCGTTTTGTATATACCGTATTTTCTTCGGTTGTTACAGAATGAAAACTAAATAAATCAGGTTTTGCTTTCCAGACAACTCCAAGTGTTTTCATTGCAGGCAATTCTGTATTCCAATTTTTAAATACATTTTTGCTATATCACAAGCTAAAGCCACCGGGTATTTTCGAAATCTCAGCAAAACAGTGACAAGGTCTTGTTGAAGTTTTGGACCTTGATAAATAACATCATTAATTGATTTACCATTATATTTTGCAGATCCATCAAACACAATTCTGACTTTTGTAGTTGATTTATCAGGACGAAGAATTGGAAAATGTGGTAAATACCAACCATCTCCAAAATCCCTTTTATTGATTTTCTCCAATTATCTCTTTTCTTGATACTGCTTAATAATATTATTGTACTCTTCTCCTAGACTTTTGTTTTTCATTAGCCGTTTTTCCGTATTTTGTAATTTGTTTAACGCCATTGTATAATTATTGTCCAAATGTCTATTATCTTTCCATGGTACTTTTAGCTCATATCTTCCGTTCTCAGTTTTTAGCGATTTAGTTACTATATTAAGGGCAGTAGAGTCTTTTGGACTTGTCATTATTTTTCTAAATTGCATCTCTTCGTCGCCTTCAATTTCCCATAATTTTTTAATGGTGTTGTTTGCATCTTCTATTTCCTTTGTACTAGATGTTATTTTCGTAAAATGGGTTTGAAGAGATCCACCAGTACCACCAACACATGTCCATCTGAGCGGCGTGAGTCGAGCCCCTGGTTCGTTAAATCCTCCTTTTACTTCCTTAATTACACAGTGCAGCTCAGCGTAATCCCCACCGATTAGAATGTCAATTTTTGGTTTTGGTCCAATATTTGGGAATTCGATTTTTCTTAGATGTTTCCAACCTTTTGACATATTTGCCCAACTAACTGCTTTTAAGTTTCCAGTTACATTATTAACTGTAAAAGCTTCCACTGTAATTTTTGTTTCTCCATTCAACGATTCCAACTGAAATTCTACCGGCATCGTTTCGAAAGAATCAATTTTTTTCGGTTTTACCTTGCAGTGACAACTCAGCCGCTACATCAGAGTTCAAATATGTCTTGGTACTTCCATCGTCAAGCAATGCGTTTACCACAACTTTTTTATATCCATTACGAAGAATAACTGGCACCGTTCTAAGAGATATGTAGTTCATGACGTGATTTGAATGAAATTGGATGTTCGACGTATGAGAATTTTCTGATATCGTGTCTTTTTCTTTGTAGTCTTCAGAAATTGTTTCTTTTTTATGACTTTTCTTGTGAAGCAAACGATTATGGGTATCTGTACAGCCATCAATCCCACAAATTCTTGTGTTCCTGCATTCTTTTGACGAATGGTTAGAATTCAAGCATCTAAAGCAGAGTTTATTTTTCTTAGCTGTCTCCCATCTTTCTTTAATATTTTGATTTTGAAACGTTGGACACTCCCATATTTTATGATCGTTTTTGCAAACATTTCTGTATCCAATTTATTTTCTTTTTTTGATCACTGTTACCAAAGTAAGAATTTCCTTCGTGTGCTTTGCTACCAATAGTTTTTTTTAAACCATGTAGAGTTTCGGTTGCTGCAATTTGAAAATCTGCTTCTTCAACGATAAACTTTTTTAGAGTTTTAACATTTTTGTTTAATTTGTTTTCATACACCCATCGTTTGTATCTAATTAACATTATCTCAGGAACTTTTTTTTGCAATTGATGGTACAATGTCCCATCGCCAAGTTCTTCTGTTCGATTTGCTTCTTTTAAGTTTGTTACTGCCACATCCAACAAATCCGCAAACTTTTCAACGTCTTTTGGATTATTTTCCCTCATAGGTTTAAAGTTGTTCAATTCATCCAAATACATAAGAATTTTTCTCCTTGATCCGCCATATTTTCTTTCAAGTCTTTCTTTTGCAGCTTCATAAGCGAATGACGAATGCCCAAGTCCTTCAATTGCTTTTAATGCGTCTCCACATAAATATTGACGTAACTGAAGTAATTTATACTCAGATGTCGCTGGGGCTTGATCAATGCATGCGTAGAATGAAGTTTTCCAATTTTCATAGTTCTTTTTATCACCATTAAATATTGGTATAGAAACGCGTTTGAGTTGTTTCCATAAATCATGTCCAATTTTTGCAGTCTTTTGATCCAAATCAATTATTTCATTTTCCATTTTACGCATGATATGCGTTGATTTGATTGGTTCCATTTCGCTATTCCCATTTTCTTCTTTATTATCTTCATCATAGTGTTCATTACTTTTTTGAGTACTTAACCATTGATAACATTGCTTTTTTGTTTCCATTTTAAGTTCTTTTTCCATCCTTTGTTTTTTAAACTTGATTTTAAACTTCCAATGCGCAATATATATTCATTTACATGTTCCATAATTTCCGCAAATTCGTCGTTTAGTTTTTCAATTTCTGTATTGATTTTTCCTACATTTTCGTTTGATTCCAAAAGTTCGTATGTCTTTGATAATTCAACTATTATCTCGAGAGCTTCGTTTTTAGTCTTTGTTAATTGATTACTCAATTCGCGTAACTCATTTTTACAAGTGGGTTCATCGTCTCCAATTTGCTGAATAATCTGATGTTTATTCGAAGACTTTAGAACTATTTTCTTCCTGTTCAATGCAGATACTTCATTTTGAACGGTTAACTGATCTTCCATTTGATTATTTGATTTTTGATTTTTTCTTTTTACCATTCTTCCGTGTTGAAGAAACTACCCTCTGCTACCAATTATGATCCGATGGCGATCACAAATAATACCGAATATGTATTATAACTTATATTTTTAAGATCTTAACCGTTTTTACATTAACTATATTACTTATATTCTTTATATTTTTGTATCTTAAAAACAACAACAACAAAACTCTATTTATACAAAAATTTCGTTCAATAACAAAAATACTATTGTTCAAATAGTCAATACATAATTGTTAATTAGTTCGTTATAGCCATATTGGCGCTATTTACTAGTTATATCGATCGTGATATCGGAATGTTTTTTTTTCTTAAGCTGATTCAATTTCCTTCCAATCACGCTTTATAATCGAACTGCAAATGATGCCATGTTGCACATCACCGGAAATATGTGTTGATGGTTATGCAGAACAAATAAAAACTAACATAACAACTATCCTTGATAGATTGGCGCCAATCCAGAATTATGTAAAAAGACTTATTTTGCACAATGATAAATGGTTATCAGCAGATGCCAAGAAAAGTAAATTCAGATGTCGAAAACTGGAACGTCGTTACAAAAAAAAGTGGCTTATTGGTAGACAAAAAACTCTATCGAAATGAATGTCGTAAGACATCTGCAGCAATCAACAAGTCTAGACGTACTTACTTTGAACAAAAGCTAAATTCAGCTCAGGCTAATCAAAAAGAAATACGGAGTATTGCTAAAAAATTACTGCACACAAACTCTAAAAATGTAACTGATGACAATATAATACCAGAGGAAAAGTGTGAAACAATAAATCAATATTTCATTTACAAACTTGAAAGAGTAAAGAATACAATACAAGAAAGGCTGACTGCCCTCCCAAAATCATATAACATTTCAGAGCTATCACTCCCTGCAACAACTTCAATATCAACACTTGGTACAATTACACCTGAAGATATCTCTAAAATAATTAAAAATCTCAAACTGAAGACATCACTACTAGATTTTATTCCTACTGACCTATCCTAAAATCTTGTGCTGATGTTTTTAATCCTATTATTGCTCATCTAGCTAACGTATCATTTTATTCTGGAACTTTCTCAGCCTCATGTAAGATTACCCAAATAACACCGATTCCCAAAAACCCAGATCTATCAGATTTTGATCCTACCAATCTACCCCCTATATCAAATTTGAACACTATTTCCAAAATTATTAAAAAGTTTGCTTTATCTAGACTTCGTTCGCATATAATTTCCTCTGTAAACTTTAATCTTTTACAATCTGGCTTTCGACTCAATCATTCTAGTGAAACAGGACTTCTCAAGATTTGCAATGACATCCTTTCAAACATTAATAATCTATCAACTACTATCCTCCTCTCTTTAGACATATCAGCAGCCTTTTTGATCAAATTCTGTTGATCGCAAACTACTAAGAGAACGTCCAAAAAACAAATTTGGTATCACGGGAACTGCAATCGAATGGTTGTCTTCATGCCTTCATAATCGAAAAACTTTTGTTTCTATTGAAACAACAAAATTATCAATCTCAGATATTTCAACCGGAGTACCACACGATAGTGTTATTGGCCCGTTTCTATTTTCCATGTTTGTGTCTCCCGTAAATCGCATTATAGCTAAACTTGATATAATCACCATCAATATGCTGATGATAGTCAACTGTATACTGCCGTCAGACCTGGGATAGACCACATAAACAATATAGCTCAATGTGCAAATGTAGTCACCACATGGTTTCTTGAAAATAGACTATTACTTAATCCAAATAAAACAGAAGCTGTCTTATTTGTAACCGTAATCAAACATTTAAATTTAAAGACGAAACCCAATTTTTATTCTCAGGTGCAACTCTTGCTGCATCTAATTTGGTAAAAATTCTTGGTAATACCTTAGATTCAACACTCTCTATGGACCAACATATAAAGAATATTGTAAAATCGTGCAAATACCATATTTGCGCACTTTATCATATTCATCCATTTCTTATCAAAAGTGCTGCAAAAATAATTGCCTGTGTTGCGGATTACTTCTTCCAAGATAAGTAGCAAAAATTAGCGGTTGTATCTTAATATAAACATTAATATATTTGTAATGATGCGGTCTTCTTAAAGATATTGGGAAATTACGCCAACGTAATTTTAAAGTTAATAATATAATATTTTGTGGTTTTGAATTTTATATAAAAAAGGGATGATATTTTTAAATAATAGATTCGCAGTCATATATTAATAAAACAACTATAAACAAACCTATTGCACCTCCTAACATCGAGTGCAATTCTGTCCGCTTTCTCTATGCTGACTTTCTAACACGACTATTTCTGTCTTTCACTCTAACATTTCTTTGTTCTTCCAAAACTCACTTTACTCT